GGCCTTTCATCAAAGTCAAACACATGTTTCATGGAAGACGTCAACTTCTGGTTTCCTTAATTTTAATTTATATCAAATCATGTGATAATTACTAATCTTATATAGATATAAGTGGATTCAGTCCAAAGCTGATACCACAGCTTTTGTTTTTATGTCAAGATAACTACTACTCCTAGATTTGGTTTGATTCCGTTACACCCAGTTGGGCAATGCTACAGGTTGGTACAGAGGTTGACTGAGAAATGCATTATGAAAATTTCAATACAAGAAGCATCATCATGGTCATCAAATATAATTCAGTCATATTCAGGTCAAATCGACGAGTACAAGAAGACAAAAATTGATTCTAATTATTAAACCATTTGGTCTTAGAAACGTGTATCAGCTACCATTATTTTGGCTTATTTTGACTGCAGCCTAAAGCACGTGTTTATGCACCGACAAACATCTAAACCCGAGAAGATAAATGGAAATCCATTAACAACTGGAATCCACTAGAAAATAGAGAAAAAATAATTTGCTATGTGAGAGAGTAGTGTGGAAATAGCCTCATATCCTTTCCATAGGAGTATGCTTATGGTTTTTTTTTTTTTCATCAACATCAGCTAGAAGGAGTAGTTAATTGATAGGAAATAGCAGTTTTTATAATTAATAAAGAGAATGGTGAAGTTATATTGTCTTTATAATCAACTACTGGTCATTTAATAGAAGGCAACCTCTAGAAAAAGTCTGATGTGCTTCCAAGGTTTTAATTCACCTTATAAACTTGGCAGCTGATGTTTTGGCAAACCTTGCTAATCAGTCGCTCAATGTTTCTTTGCTTGACCTTGTTGCTTAGAGTTCTTTTGGAAGTTTAGTATGATAGTTTTCCTTCTACTGTCAACAAATTTACAATCCTCTGAACCTTCTAATAATAATAATAAAAAGGATTATTTCTTTTTCGCATCATAGATTTCTGTACTCTATTTTTGACATTCTCTTTTACTTTGTTGCTGTGAAATTAGGTAACTTTTTCCCTTGTAACCTAAATTGATAACTGGGTCAGGACAAGAGAGATTGTTTAATCTTCTTCTTTGTTTAGAGGAACGGATCATGGAAGTAGCCCAATCTGAGTGAACCTTTCTTATCAAACAATACAGGGGAAGATAGATTCGAATTCGGTGTTGGGGTGAATGTTCTTAACCCGTAGAGCTACAAGTTCCCCACAGGTGTTTTCTGTATTTTTATTACTTGTTAAGATAGATTCGAATTCGGTGTTGGGGTGAATGTTCTTAACCAGTAGAGCTACAAGTTCCTCACAGGTGTTTTCTGTATTTTTATTACTTGTGTTGAATTTAGAGCTGGCAATCTTGAGCTAGGATTTTGATGCCCTAAAATTCCTAAAAGTGAGTTAAATGATCTATGTGCAGTTCCCACAATAACTTTGTTATGTCCGAAATTCGAAATTCAAGGTGGAAAAGAGAAGATATATTGTTCAATTGCAATTCAAAATTTATTTGATACATCATCATTTAACTTGTGGTCTCTCTATGAAATGCTTTAAGTCAACAGCAGATACACAAATTAAACTTGGTGCTTGGCCAGCATCACGATTTCCATGCATAGCTCCACGGATCAGCTCCCTTACCGTGGCACAACATCAGAAACTGATTGTTCATTGATTGAGATAATATGATCAGCCCTCATCTCACAATGATCAGCAAACCTTCCTGTAGAGAAAGCAGGTTTTTCAGGTGGGCTAAGAGTTACTGTTTCACTTTTCAACATGACAACAACATAAGACATGGTTGGCCTGTCATCCGCATCTTCTTGAACACACAACAATCCAATATGGAGATATCTTAAAAATTCATCGGCGTCACATGAATCAACCAGTAACGGATCCATCAGCTCTAGCCCGTTTCCTTCATTCCATAATTGCCATGCCTGCATATCATCACTCAATGAGATAAACATCAATAAGCTTTGAGAATGAGAAAGTGTAATGCAGTCTAAGCCAGACAAACGTACATATGCTATGAGGCTAGGAACGCGTTTTATCAGATGAAAGCCAGCGTTCCTTCTCCCAGTTATGATCTCAATCAAGAGTACTCCAAAGGCAAAAACATCGGACTTCACGGAGTATAGTCCCTCCATTGCGTATTCTGGAGCCATATATCCACTTTTCCAATACAAAATTCCAAAACATATTATAAATCTGTAGAAATCAAATAATATGGTTTTATTGAAAACTTAGAAATCAAGCACTTACTAAGTGCCAACTATTGTAGCAGTATTAGCTTCTCCTTCACTTCCTACAAAGATCCTTGCCATGCCAAAGTCTGAGATCTTTGGATTCATGTCATTGTCTAATAATATATTGCTAGCTTTAAGGTCTCTATGGATGATTCTAAGTCGAGAGTCCTCATGCAAATAAAGAATCCCCCTTGCAATCCCACTGATAATGCTAATGCGCCGGCTCCAATCAAGTCGTGCACGTTTCTTTGAATCTGACCATCCATCATAAGAAAAGAAGTCATACATTAATTAAATTTTTTTTTTTTCAAAACAGAAAATCTTGACCATGTAATTGTTCTTAAGTTTGCCTTAGTAATTGAAATTCAAAGGATAAACAGAAATGAACAAACCAAAGAGGATGACATCTAGGCTGCTATTTGGCATGAATTCATATGCAAGGAGCTTCTCCTCTCCGTCTACGCAAAAACCACAAAGCCGGACAAGATTTTTGTGCTGAAGTTTCATTATCAGTAGAACTTCATTTGTGAATTCCTCTAAACCTTGCTCGGACAAGCTTGAAAGCCTTTTGATTGCCACTTCCCTTCCATCATTTAGTATACCCTGAGAAATTACCACCCGATTCTCTTCCAAGTCACAAAAATACTAAGCAAGCACATGTGCAAGATTTTCATAATTTATTGAACGAAACAAACTCAATACCTTGTAAACAGGACCAAAACCACCTTCTCCAAGCTTATTTGAATCAGAGAAGTTGGAAGTAGCTGCATGTATAGCTGCCAAACTGATATAGGGGTCCTGTGCTTTTCGATAATTTCTTCCTGAAAAAAAAAA